GTTTACTTTTAAACATGATTTAAAATGTAATGGAAAATAGAATGATTACTGAAATTAATTAAAAAAATTTAATTCATGTAAATTTGAAATTACAGTTTAACCCAGGAACCTTTAATGAAATCTTGAGTTCCCTTGTTCAAACCTGAGACTTACAAATGGAGACTGCCTGTGAATAGATAGCAAAATTGTATGACTCTAAGAGTGGAAGTGCTGGGTTCATGTGCCCTTCTAACTAGGAGAACAAGCTGCCAGTGTGTCTCCTTCATCTAATCTTAGGAGAAGCAAATGGAACAAAGGAAAACAGTAAATAAGATTTTTTTCTAGAAAGATTTTTAAATTTGAGTTTATCATCTTTGTGTCTATCTTCCTATCTTTCCTTTTTTCCTGGTTTAATTTTTTTTTTTTAATTTTGGGAGGCAAACTTAACAAGTTTATTAATATTAAAAAATCACACAAATTTGATTAAGTACACTTTCATCAGTCATCAGAAAGTGATCACAACTGTGTAAGAACTCCAGAGACACAAGTCCCCACCAAGCTTCCCAGTCATTAGCCATTTCCTTTTTAAAAAATAATTATTTATGTATGAATTCAACAGCTGGAATGTTGGCCAGAGGTGCGGGGGGTGGGAGGGGGGAAGAATGTTGTGATAGGATCAGAAACAGAACAGGAGGACTGACTGAAACACTGTTGAGGGGAGCAGCAGGTGAAACAGGAAAGGTCTGCTGTGCCATGTGGGTAGCTCCCTGCTGGGATTGAAGTCATGCTGCAGTGGCTGCCAACAGCCCCATAGTGTTGAGACTTAACCCCCCTGTGCCATCAGAGAGGCCCCATTTCCTTTTACTTAAAAATAACTGCTGCTATAGACTGAATGTTTGTGAATTCCCAAATTCATTTTGAAATCTCATCCCCAATGTGATAGCATTTGGAGGTGGGACTTTGGGAGGTGAATAGGTCATGAATGTGGAGCCTTCATGATAGGGATTAGTGGTCCTACAAAGCAAACTCCATAAAACTCCTTTACCCATTCTACTTGTATAATCAACCAAAGTCATTGCACATAACTTTGGTTTTCATTGCTATATAGTATCCCTTTACAGGAATATGGTATAAAAATTACCATTCTATAATCAGTTAAATTCTACAAATAGTGTTGATGTGAACATTTTTTGTACACATCTCATGGAAATATGTTGAGTATTAGTATGTCTGCATTGTGGTATTGTCATTTTTAGTAGTTAGTGTCTGTTTACCAAAATTATTATATTTATTTTTCTAGCAGCATTGTGTGAGAGTCTAAATGCTCTATCGTTTAACTTTTGAAATTGTCACTATTAAAATTTTTGCCATTTGAGTAGGTGTAGTGTTAGTCATATAATATTCATACTTTGCATCTATTCCTTTTTACACAGTGAAACATATTTTGTAATTGGTCACTTATTTACTTCTTTGAAATGTTTCATCCAATTACCATATTGAGTTGTCTTGAGTTTTTCTTACTGCCTTAAAATATTAGTTATTATCTCCAGAAATGTATTTTTTTTCCAAAGATTTATTTATTTATGCATACAGTACTGGGGTACAGGCCAGAGGTGCAGGGGCAGTGAGAGGATTCATCAGAGACAGAGTAGGGAGCAGAACAGGCAGATCAAAGAAGTACACTGCTGAGGGGAGCAATAGGCGAGCCAGGAGAGGTCTGTGGCACCATGTGGGGCACATCCC